ATAGGCAACCTTGTTCCCAAGCATGGCCACCACAATAGCAGAACCAAAGGATGCTTTCTCTTTCATTCTCTGCACGGCATTGCACAGCACAAGCAACCAACTTTGTTCTTCAGGCATGGCAGCAAAAAACATCCTGCACTGTGGGAAAGATAAACCCTCCAGACACTTCATTGCCAAGGTTGATAACTCGAGGCTTCAGCAGCTGCTCTTGACCGCTGCCTGCTGTTCTTCTGTCTTGTGGAAGATACAAGAAATATTTGTAAAACAGATCCTTGCCTCTTCTGGCTAGTAAAGATCAGCTAAAATCAGCTGTGCCTTATTCTAGCAGAAATTGTACACTTTTTCCTCTAAGAAGGCAATTCATGGGCTTTTCTGAAGAAGTTCAGTAATATTTTCAGTGTTCAAATAGTCTACACGCAATCCAGAGTCCTTAATAGTTATCACCGTATCACTAAACTTGGATTCCAAGGGAAAAGCATTGGAAAAAATAGTAAAAATTCAATGCAAACAACAAGAATCTACCATGTTTACTGAATACTTCTGGTCAGGTCTATGAATATAGAGAAAATTTTTACAAATTACGGAAGATATCTTGTAAGTTGGGGAGACATCTTGATACTTAAACTCTTCAGTCTCCTTGTAGCCTTCCTCAATCTACACCATACTGTATTGCTCACTCACCTGCATAACATTCTTGGAATGAAAAGTTGCAATGGGCAATTTCTGTTTCTGTCTCTCAAAGGCTTATCCACTATCATCCTCTTCGCTGTTCTAAGAGATACTCAGAAGCAATGAAGATCTGCTCTCAACAACACCAACACACCGAGGGTATATGCCTACAACTCCCGTTTTCATCAGATGCAACTGTAGTCCTCACAGAGATGTACTGCAGAGTAGGAAACAACACTTGGCTGAAGATTTGCTGGCTCAATCCATTTGTGTCCAGCAGCACTTCAATGCTGCTACTATTTTCTTCTTCACAGTGCATCAGACATTTATTAAGGGAGGTTGAAAGGGTTTTGCAGCCTAAGGTATGGTGTAGCACATAGAACAGATGTTTGGTTGAACTTCTGGTCCATTAATATGTAGTTTCTGAATGCTAGAGAAAGGCCATGGTAACTCAAGTCATGACTGTCAAGCTTTGATGTTGTTCTGGTTATAATAACTTTCTCCAGGCATCTAGGAACTGGGAGAATGCGATGTCATGTTCATATGCTTTTGAACCTTTAAAGATTGCTACTGTAGAGCTGAAAAAGCGTCAAATATTTCTATTCTGAAAGAGTAAGAAAAAGATTGGGAAGGAAGAGGAAAGAGAATGAAAGACAGACAGGTGGTCAGGAGGTGTGGTCTGTTCCTCTGGCAACAATGACCTTGTCTTCACACCTGCTCCCACACCCTTTCCCTGTCCCATTTTGCTCCATTGCTACCCTTTATCCTTAATCCTCACCTTGCTATGTTGAAAGACTCTGTTTGCACACCAAAGAAAATAACTGGACAGCAAATAAAAGGGAAAAGCCATGAAAGTTAAATGCTGTATAGACTACATGTTTGCTTAAACTTTTTTCTCTCTCTTCGTGGTTCTGTAGTCAGTGGGAAACCTTGTACAGTTCTATTGCTTTTCTCTGGAAGTGATAGTATGAGCCAGGCAGTTTCCTCTTGTAAAGGTTAAGGTGGCAGCTGAAGGTTTTTGGGTTTCTGGTGTGATTTATTGATGGGCACGGTCAAGCCATCAGGACAAATAACTCCCAAAATCAAGCAGATGAGCAACAGCTGTTGGCTTCGCCTACCTGAGTGATGTTTTACCCTGGCAGGAACATGGACATGTCTGTGCCTCCAGTGATCCAGTTTTGGGAGATGTTGCAACAGAGCTGCCAGCCCTTGTGATGCAAACAGTGGGCATGGTGGGGAGGTTCCATGCCTGATGTCAGCCTTGCCTACACCTTCACCAGTGGCCAACACCATCGACAGCTCACAGCCCATGTCCCACAGGGCCCAATCCACAGGACCTGGTGTTCATCCAAGGTTGCTGAGAGTTGCTGTTACTGTTACAAAGATACTCTCAATCATCTTTGGAAGGCTGTGACAATTGGTAATAGGGCAAATCTGTCTGGAAATAGTATGTAGGCTTATAAAAGACGAGGGGATTGGGAACAGTCAGGAAGTACTGACTGAGGGCAAATCCTCCCTGACGAGCCTGATTGCCTTCTATGGTGTTATGTCTGGTTCTGTAGATGAGAAGGGAGCAGAAGATGTTGTATACTTTGACTTTAGCAAGGCCTTTGACACAATTTTCCATAGTATCTTTATAGCCAAACTGGTGAGATATGGCTTGGATGGATGACAGTAGGTTGGCTGGAAAACTGGCTGGCTAACTAGGCTCAAGGATTTGGGATCTATGGTATGAAGTTGAACTGGTGACCAGCTACTCGCAGCATTTCTCATCTGATATTGAGGTCAATACTGTTTAATGTCTGTATTAAAGACCTGGCTGGTGGGATGGAGTGCACCCTCAGCCAGTTTGAGAATGATGCCAAATTAGGGCAGGTGGCTGGTATGCTCAAGGGCAGGGATCAGGGGCATTCAGGGGGACCTGAACAAGGTGGAAAAATAGGCTGACAGGAACCTCATGAGAGTCAGCAAAGGCAAATGCGAAGCCCTGCACCTGGGAGAGAATAAGCCCATGAAACAGCATGGGCTGGCCGCTGGCTGTCTAGAAAACAGGCTTGCAGAAAAGGACCCGGGGAATAGCTGGTAGAGAAGTTGAACATGAGGCTTGACAGCCAAGAAGGCCAGACACATCCTGGGCTGCATTACCAAAAACACAGGCAGATCTTAAGGCTCTCTCCAACTACCTCATGAGAGGCTGTAGAAAAAAATGGAGATGGATGCTTCTCAGAGGTACATAGCTATAGGACAAAAGGCAATGGGTATAAGCTGCAGTATGGGAAATCTCAGTTAGATATGTTAGGAGAAACATGTTTTCACTATGAAGGTGGTCAAACATTGGAACAAGGGCCCATAGACAATGGGATCTCCATTCTTGGAGATATTCAAACTTCATTGGACCAGGCAGTGAGCAACCTGACGTAAGCTGGCCCTTCTTTGAGTGATGGGTTAAAACAGATGACCTTCAGAAGTCCATATCCTATATTACCCTAGGACTCTGCAAGTAGATTGGTCTTTAAGAACCATGGATAAAACTACATTCCCAGGGAAAGTGTAAACTCCACTCCTCTAAGAAGCAAAATCTCAGGGATGTTTAATGCTCCATATAAGTGCTGAGGTTGAGCAGCTCCTTAAAAACTTAGAGTTGCTTTTGGCTTAAGGCAGTGGTGAGGTTACTGGATTTTACATGTTAATGTGAAAAGTTTAGTTCTGGAAGCCTTCCTTACTGTTACTGAAAGGCAAAATACAGCCTACAGGTTAAAGCATAAGACACAACATGAGGAAAGAAGTAGCCTAATTCTGATTCAGTAGCAGACTTGCTAAGTGGCTCTGAAGAAATCATCTGAACTATTTTATGCCTTACCTTCGCAAGATGTAATACAGGACTAGTAGGCTATTACACAGTTGAGACAAATTCAACACTGTTTTTAATTTTTGCATTAGGGTGTAGTGGAAAATATTGCTGTACTTCTTATTTGATGAAAGGTGTTACTGCGTCTTTTTTACAGGGAACTGGTTGTAAGTTTTAAACTGCAGATCACTAAAAGCTTGCATGAATATTTTCTAAGCTCAACCAGTAATTGGAGCAATAGTTTCCTTATTAAACCCTAAAAAGAGCAGTTAGACATTGCTAGGGATAGTATTATATTTTCTCCAATTATTGCTTTTTTCTGTAGAATCTTAACATAGGGATAGAACAGAACACTTAATGAGCTTTTAGATTTAAAAGTCTCCAAGCATTTCTCCTTAGTTTGGAAGAAAGAGAACATCCTTACTCCGAACACTGATTATTCATACTGAAACACCTTGGAATGTATCTTCACATTGTTGAAGACAAATGAGTTTGTCCTGCTACTTCTTGCACGGCCAGGTTTTGCAGCTATTCTTCTGTGCCACTGACAGAGAACAACTTTTGGAAATTAAAAGTGGTGAAGGAATTGTAGCACCTTTGTGTGTGCCTCTGCTGCCCTGCCAGACTTCTGGTAGCAGATTTATAAATTGGATACAATTAAGAATATATCCAACAGTGTATAATGAAGAGGATTGTGATAATCTCATAGAACCACTGCCCAAACTTTCTTCCTTTCACGTGTCTTACCCTCTTCATTTATAAAAATACCGAGTCAATACTTTTCATTTATAAAGAGACGGTAATGTACAAAAAGCACATGCAGAGTGGGTACTCGCATCTCTTTGGAAGGCTACTGTTTGATAACGAGACAGAAACATTTTCAGGAGTTACCAGAAAGCATTCAGCCTTGTGGGCTGCCCTGCTGCAGGATTACTACATATATTTTACCACTGCACCATGAGGAAAGTTCCTGCGAAGTCTCTCAGATCAATATACTCCTCTCTCAGGTGTTATCTGAGCAACTGAGCAAATGCTGCTGAGAGGCTGAGCGGCCTTCTGTACCACAGGAGAGAAATACCTGTATCTACCTATCCACATACGTGTCTATAAATGCATATTCCCACATGTGCTTTTTCACTTTCAGCTCGATTAGTCCTCTTTCTCTCCTGCGCCTGTAACTGCTGACAAGCAGATACAGTTTGCAATAAGGGGAAATATGTAATAGGTATTGAACAGAACAAGAACAAATAAAAGCCCCAAACACACCGACATCAATAGACTTGATACGTGAGTTGATAACCATTGGTCCAATCGCACTTGTCAGCTCTTTGTGGTTTATGGGCAATGGGCGACGTTTCAGGAAGCAGACGGAGCTGGGTTGCAGTTGCGGTTCCTCAGCAGCACTTCTCTGCAAAGTCGGGGAGTCGTGCAGAAGGAGGCGAGCCCCCTGCTATGCCACTAGAGAGTCCGTGGGTAAGTGCTGCAAAGGTACTCAGCGGTGGTCCTGGAGGCAGACGTGCAGGTTGGGAGTATTTTAGCCCTCACCTCGGAGAGGAGGAGGGAAATATCATTAAACTCCAATGAGAAGGCTGCCAATCTGGAGGGAGCTTAACGGGTCCTGGTAAGAGGTAAGCTTAAAGCAAAGCTGGGAGGAAACATTATAGGCTGGAAGTTAAGAGTGCTTCACGTTTTTGGTCCGCTGCAGTAGTTGTGAATGTCAGATTTTGTGAAATCTGTGGAAGCAGAGTAGAAGGTAGTTGAAAGGGTATATTGGGAGTCAGCCTCGCAGGAAGGACACCTGGGCTCCTTTTACAATAGCATCCACACTTTCATAACCCTTTCTGAAAATTAATTTATTAAAAGAAAATGTAAACCAGAAAGATAGCAGTACTATTATTGGTTTTGACAGTCAATCTTTAAACAAAGAATAAGAAGGAAATTTCCATACTGTTTCTACTAGCTTTCTCATAGGCTTCGGTACTCCTTCATGAAGAAGAAATTTTTCAAAATCACCTCAGATGCTGAGGATCACAGTCAGAGGGTTGCCAGGTCTGCCTTGACTTCAGTGCTTTTGGACACCTTCCCTGATGCTCTCAGAAACTTGCGCAGCTCAGCAAGGACGACTGTGGAGTGGTTTAGTGTCTACTACTTGAGGGGCTTTGGATGGATGGCTTAACCACTGATTATCTGCTCCAATATCGCATGTTACATCCCTGTCCTCCTGTTGCTCAAATGTACAGGAGGCTGTTAGGAAGGCAGCAAAGGAATCCTGGGTGACAGTTTTTTTCATTTTATTCATGTAGTAGAGCTTTCCTTCATTAGCCAGGAAGAGCAGCCCAGTGTCTTTCTCAGCGATCAGGGAAAAGAAGAGCATGAACTGAGTAATACAGATAAATCAGACAAGACAGAGCTGTGGCTGGAGGATGGAGGAAAGTGATCAGAATGTACACCAGCAAAAATTACTTGTGTCACCAATCGCAGACTGGTGTATGTGTGTATTATTCAGGTAACTATGCAGCGGCATTCTGTTTGGACTCCTTGACTTTGCTGGGTCATCATGTATCAGTGGCAGTGTTTTTATCTCTGTAGAAGTAGTGGCATCTTTTTTCTTCCCCTGTTGTGAACCCCCAGGCTTCATACCCTTCCTACTGAGAAAACACAAAGTGACAGAGTTGGTTTTTCACCTTCTATTTTGAGCCGTACCATTGCAGTTCTCATCTTTGAGACAGAATTATCAGCTGAAGCCCACAAAAACTTGCAGCGGGGAAAACCTAGGCTGCAGGTTTGAAGGGCACCAGATGCTCTAGAATAACTGTCCATACACTTGCTGCTGTCCCAGAGCATCTCACTACATGAGCACTTTAACCTCCCTGGTGTTCCTAGGATGCATGGAAATGCATTGCTCCTTTGAGTAAGCTGTTTATGTTTGGCCCCCAAAAAAGTCTATCATCTGCCGCTCTTCGGGTGGTGAGCCAAACATAGATTCTTCTTTCCAAAAGAGCTGCTGCAAAAATCACACATTTTTCATAACTACTGCTGAGGGCAGTAGGAAGTGTGATGGCTATTTTGCCTTGCTTTGTTGGATGATTATATGATACAGGGTTGTGCTTCATTTTGGTATGTAAAGGAACCAGTCTTTCAAGTACAATGCCAGAAGCAACTGGAGTCTGAGAAGATTCTGCTCGCCATTTTATAAGTGGAAAAGCTAACAGTACCAGTAGCTGGATAAAATACTTGGAGTCCTGTGAACATTATGTGTAGGTTCATATAATGATGACATTGTCATAACATCTGGCTGATCTTCACAAAGTATCCAAATATCTTTCAAAGCTAGATTGAATAAAGTGACGATATTAACCATCTACGTCAGATTGTTTCTTACCACATCTCTTTACTCAAATGCAGAAACATTTGCAGCATGATATTTTATTTTGATAAGTTTTTGTGGCATTTTTTAATAAATATGCTGTTATAAATTTCCATAGGAGGTAAGAAAGACAATAGCTTGGGCAGAGAGATTGCACCACATTTGCAGCTTTGTGGTGGTTCTTATTTCATGGTTCTCAGCCCCAGAGACTGCCCAGAGAGGGATCATCTCAATCACTTTATCCTTATTTTAAAGAGTCTCTGGGAAGTGCTCATCATGATCTTAATTCTGAAACTGGGAGTAGCTGCTTTGAAAAAAACAAGGCTAGGGCTGTGGAGGACCTTGAAGAGAAGTAACAGGGCCCTGATCTTCTACGGGATGTCGGTGTTGAGGTAGAGGACCCTCTTGTAGCGTGGGCTGCTTCACTGCAGCCATCTGTATCATCTGGAGCTGCCTAAACTTCATTGTCCCAGAAATATGTGCAGCTGCTGGTCAACCTCAGGGTGACACAGGTGTCACAGACAGAGATCAGCCCATCATCAGGTCTGCCTTCCAGATGGAAGGTTTTACATCTCAACTTACATCACAAGGTGACAAATATATCGGTGTGGATAAGTAAGAGTGGCTTTATGTGGATCTGCCCAGTTTGATCTCTCCCAGCCTTGTATCTCAAAAGCTGAGGGAGCAGGCAGCCCTTGGCTTGGTGATTGCAGGTATGTAGTTTCTGCTGCAGGAGGTGGTATGAAGCCTCCCTACTCGAGCTGTGCATTTCTCAAAGCTTGCCTCTTTTCATTCACTTACCTCCTACAGGGAAGGATAAACAGCTGAAGTTTTTAGAGAAAGGGTGCAAAGAATTTATTCCAGGTATTTGGTTTCACAGCTGGGATTATTTTGAGCATTTAAGTTGCTAACAATATAGGTGGCATTGTCTGAAGGAAATTTTGAGACCAACAGCTGTCAAATGATGAAGAGGTTGGTGTAAAGGTAGTTTATTTAGGAGAAAAGTACTTGTCATCCTACAAAGAGCATTACAATTACTTTATTTGCCTGTCTGTGATGCCTTCCTTGATGAAACAATTTGCTCAGTGGATGAGGAGAGAGCCATGGATATCATCTACCTTGATTTTAGCACGGCACTTGACACGGTCATCTTAACCTGTTGACAAGATGGCAAGACACAAGCTGGACAGATGGACCACAGATAGGTGGCTATAGTGCTGGGCTGAAAGGGTGGTGGCTAACAGCTCAAAGTTGAACCAGCAGCCAGTCACAAGTTGAGTTCCTTGGGAGTCAGTACTGGGCCTGGTACTATTCAATAGCCTTATAAAAAATTGGGATGACAGGATTGAATAATTTGGAGTGGCAGAATATCCCTTGCTGGAAATGTTCAAGACTTGGTTTGATGGGACCCTGGGCAACCCAGTCGAAGGCCCTGCTTTCAACAGGAGATTTGACTATAAAATCTCTAGAGGTCCCTGCTGACCAGGATGTTTCTGTGATTCAACAGCCACAGTAGACACAAACTGTGATGGGCACATAGCTCCTCCAGAGCTAGTTTTGGTACCTCTGCATGAGACAGCAGAAAGCCAACTGAAGCGCTGAAAATACTACAGCCTCTAAGCCTGGAAAACTGGGAAAAATTTGACTAGAGGGAGTGTCACACCAGCACGGATTTATCACCAACTAACTATTTAAAGCTAACTTAGATATTTCTGCATAGCATTGCGTTCTGAATTGCACGTATACCTCAGACTCACATGGTAACATGGATATCTTTTTCTGTCAACGCCATACAGAAAGTCTGCTTGAGTTCTACCCTTCTACCTCTAAAACATGTGCAGGCTGCTTCTGAATCTGTAACAAAAAAAGTTCAGGGGGAAAACACTTCAAAAAAAGCATAGCAAAATAAAATGCTGGAGCCTCTCACCAGATTAACCCACTTCTTCCTAACCTAGAAGAGATCTGTGGTACACAGCTGAAATTAAGTTCATGTGAGGATAATCTTAGGTGTGGGAATGGAATGAGTTCGGATGCCCAGTCATTTCTCTGGGAGAAACTGAACCTGAAAATTAAGTGGAGATAGCATTTGATACAGAATTCATTATCTTATTGTCAGCTCACTGAACACAGTGAAATCTTTCTTCTTAAGTGAAATTAAAGGGAAAAGAGTTTTAGCCAAAGTAAGAGGCATAAGGGAAAATGTGGAGTGGATACTCAATAGGCATTGCTTTATCTGCGTTCTTCATTGTGCTAATGATACTTAGCAGTGAATGGTGAGTTCTGTCACCATGAGGGTTGTGGAAATCATTGAATCACTTTCAGTGATGATCCTGACTTGATGGTGCAGAGAGAAAAGAAAACTAGCAATGGGAATCTCTCCTCAGTGAGCTGATGCTTCTCATTTCCAATTCAGCAGCGCAATTAAGCACATTAACTGTGTGCTTTATTTTCTTAATCTCCCCAAATTCTTAACATCACTGATATCAACAGGAAAGCTATTTTGGGGATATCTTTGCTCTGAAGATGTATTCAAATTAGTGCTTAATGTGCTAACTCAAGAACCAGAAGCAATGGGCCTAAAGAAGCATATTGCTATGGCCAGTCTCAACAAATTGAGAAGCTAAATGGCATGGCACTGCCCTACTGTGGCTATTTTGCTTTGGGATCAGAGCTCATATCTGCACAAGGTATCTCCTACACCACGCACTGTTGTACCAACTTATGTTGGTTCTATTTTGCGCTTCTCTCCACCACGCTCCACTGACTCCAGCTGGATTTTATAAATTTTTTTTTCTTTTTTGATGTCTATCTTATACGGCTCATAGTGTCATATGGCAATGTCCTGTCTTCAGCTAGGAAGAGCTACTAAGAGCTATAGTGAATAACTGGTCCTTATGCTTTCCAGTGATCGGAAAGCTGTACAGAACATGAAATAACCTGGTTGAAATGAAAAGAGGGAAGTTAGGTGGGGAAGCTAATTGGTAGTTTATTGTTTTCAATTCTCTTTTTTACAGAGAGGTCTAAAGATTGATCAAGAATAGGGGCTCAGTGGCATCGTGCTCTCTGCCACACCACAGCACAATGTATGTCCAAAGCCAAATAAGCAGATCTGAGCAAGAACTATCACACATGGCCACAAGCAGCATGGCCCAAGATTTTCTGGGGAGTCCTGTGTCGATGAGATGGGGAGAGAGGTTTAGGGGAAAAAGCAAGTTAGGAGGATGGTGGGATGAAGGGCAGGTGTGGGTACCCCTCCCACAGCCCCAAACAGCAGCCCCTACCCTAGTTGTTTCTGCAGCTGCTCCTGGCTGGATTCTCTAGCTGCATCCTAAACATTTCAGCTGAACTTCAAATAGGCAAAAGTCTTAAAAAAATGCAGCAGTAATGAGCTTATTCCTGACACAATTAGCTTCACACTTTGGCAAATGCACTGAAGTTCTTAATTTAACACAAATGTTTATCATTAGCTCAGAGCAGAAGCCTCCAGATTTAACAGCAAAATGAACCATTTCAGCCCAAACAATTGGATGCAATAGAGCACTCGCGTGCCTGCCGTGCCTCATTCCCTTATGCAGGCTTTAGCTGTGCTGATCAGGCAAGGCTCTTACAAACCAAAGTACTTTATGAATGCAGTCTGGAGCAATTCCCTTGCAGTAAATTCCTTGTTTCTGAAAGAGGTAGGAGGGACCCTGGATTCCTGTCTAACCCAACTATAGCAGGGGAGTCATGTATTTCATTGTGCTCATGCTGGGGTAGGAAAGTATCTTCAGTAATAACCTAGCAGTACCGGTACTAAGCTTTGCTTTCTGTGCTGCTCCTAGGCAGGCATTCTCAGTCTAATGCAGGGAGGTTTGCTCCTCTGCCAACAGGGGCAACACATACTAAATTTCATAAATATCTGTATGTCTATATTCAGCATGAAAGTAATCATTAGTAATCTGATTTTTTCCATTCACATGATGATAACATTTGTATTACTTCTGCAGTCAGAAATCAAATGAAATAAACAATCTGAGAATAAAACAGTGTTAACAATTGCAGTAAACATTTTGAGGCCAAGTAGCAATAGACTTGTGCTGCAATATATTTTTAAAAAAAATATTATTCCTTACAACGTGCTGCCTGCCTCAGCAGGCAATTAGTGAGAGGCTAGTATGGAGTTCAAACAAATTTTAAGATGAGCACTGTCTTTTTGAGTGAAGGGAAGGGCTTTTTCTTCTCGGAAAGGAGTATATGCATATAGGATCAGCATGGTACCGCGTGTATAATTTTATTCTCTGCAGTCTAATGTCATCCTTATGGCAGGGGGAATGCATCTACTTGTCAATCAGCTCCCCCCTCCCTTTTTTTTTTTTCCTGGTGAGAACAAGCTCCAATAACGAGCGAAATGCTGTGTTGGATTCCTGATGAAAGGCGTATCTCCTGAAAAACCTACGGGTAAGCGACAGAACTAGTAAAATCCTGCAGAACAAGATTAATATTAAAGTTAATCTCCTTGTCAATCAGCCCCCCCTCCATTTTTTTTTTTATCCTGGTGAGAACAAGCTCCAATAACGAGCGAAATGCTGTGTTGGATTCCTGATGAAAGGCGTATCTCCTGAAAAACCTACGGGTAAGCGACAGAACTAGTAAAATCCTGCAGAACAAGATTAATATTAAAGTTAGTGGCAGGCTGCTAGAAATGTGCAGTTATTAAAGGTAGGACAGACACCTTCTCAGAAAGGTCCATTTAGACAGGAGTCTGCACAGATATCTTTTGGTTGTCGCCCTGATTGCTCCTCCCTTTCTCAGTGACAAACACTGAGGCCAAAGCAGAGCGCCAGTAGAAAACAGAAGTAGGTATGGGGAAAGCTGGGCAAACTATTAGTATTAAAACAGCTCCTTTCTAGATTTGTGACCCCTCCTTCCCCCCTCTATTAAAGGAGTACAGCAGATTTTGATGGGGATTTAGGTTTTGTTTCGTTTGCAGTACTTCTCTGTTGAAAGATCTGGATTAGGGTAAGAGCTGAATAGAATTTGAGGTGGGTTTATTGATATGCTATACTTCAACAGGGAATGAGATGCAACTTTGGTGCTTCCAAAGGAGGGAAAGGTAGTGAGATAGACTGAAGGAGAAACAGACTTTCTCCACACCACTCTGCCTCAGATATTTTTAAGCAAATTTCTTTTGAGTAAAAAAATGCCCAGGGATAGTAACTTGCAAAGTGGGTATCTTTTCCCCCTAAATTAGAAAAGGGAACTTGAAGAAGGCCACAAGATATATCTCCACTTTTCAGAGGAGCTTGAATTTATATCTCTGCTGTGCAAAGATGCGTGAAACCAGGAATTGCAAGTCACATTTTCCTCCCTATACTTTACCGAAATGTTCTTTCTGATGTGTCACAGGCAGTATTTCTTGCTCATAGGGCGCCTTGCACTGCCTGGGTGACAGCCACAAATCACAGCAGCTTCAGAACCCAGATAGAGACATTTTAAGAAACCTATTATCTAGAAATTTTTTTGGCTGTTATTGATACCGAACATTTTTCCTTTTGTAGATAATTTGTATCTTTCTATTCAGGTGCTTGAAATAGTAAGGCACATTAGAAATATGAGTCAAAAATGTAATTTTGTTGGTAGCAGCTAAAAGTTACTCTAACTACATACTGGCTTTCAGCTATTCATATTAGCAGCTGATCTTATGCATAAAGATAAATTGCAATTAACATGTCACAATTACAGCTTAATAACTGATCCAGCTGGTCTTACATTCTAGGACCAGGCCCATAGCTGGCACTGGGAGGGACTCTGAGCAGATCTGGGCTTTGTGTAAGGAGCACAAGATGTAGAGGATGATGTTCTCCCTATATCTCATCCTTTTACCTAGGAAGCAGATACTGCCCTTGCTTGAGAACACTGCTCCGACCCATCCTAAGAAAAGGCCTGAGGAACACTTGGTGCTGGTCACCCCACAGGTACATCTACTAAACCCATCTCTTTCACAGTCAAACATACATGGCAATATGGGATTTTCCCCAGTTTAGGAAAGGATAGCTTATATCAAATCAGTTGTCAAGAAACTGAACCTTTTAAATCTGTCCAGCCCCCTGGTATCTCTACTGCAGGATTTCAGAAGGTGGTTTCAGAGGAACGTGCCTTCATGCTATAGTTGCTTTATATTCAGGCACAAATCAAAAGGAAAATCAAAAAAGCAGGGCTTTGATCTGCTGCCCCACCAGACTCGATCAAAGGTGTCCTTGGTGAAACTGGAACTGGACACTATTAAAATTATGCACTAGGGAGGGGAATCAGGCTCATGGCTTACTGCAAGACTAGTACACAACTATGGGACAATGCCTTGGCTGGTATAAACAGGCTTATATTTATTACTATAAATTAAGTTTATTTGATGGATCTGAACATATACAAGGAAAAAAGAAGGCTAGAAACCAGCACTGAATTAGTTTTTTGATAATTCAAGTCCTGATTCTTTCATGAATGTAATGGGGAGCAGGGTCTAGCTCTTCCAGTGTAAAATAAAATGACATAATTAAGGAATATTTTGCTACTTCTAATAGAGTTTTTTGACTGGCAGAAGTCTGATCAACTGTCCAGCAAAGCTGATTTATTCATGTAACTGTCCCTCACACTTTGGGGAATATTCCAAAACTCAAATCACCCTTAGCAATTGCAGGTTTAGATACCCCTCTAGGGACCTGATTCTCTACTATCAACCACAGCTCAGTGTTTTCAAGAGTGTTACTCCAGCTTTACCCTCAGCTAACTAAGAGTCAGGTTACCCACCATGAATTTAAGGTGTTCAGGTGGATCTTATTTTTTGCTTTCTGCCACCTACATAAGTGAAGGACAGGAACAGTCTTCCAGAAGACCCAACACCACGTACCTCCTACCACCCTGTATGGTCCACTTCTGAATTAGCACTCCAAATCCTTGAGTCCTGGCACAGTAAATGTAGAAAAACAAAACACCTGGGTTGCCATGGTTATTCTGTGTACATCTCCAACTTTGGAACAGCTGAAAAATCACTAACAGCATGTATTATGCCTGAGCATAAAGGGCATGGCTCTCTTTTCTCAAGGACTTTTCACACAATCCAGAGTAAAGTAGCCTTGATGATACTCAGACCACAGGACAAGCAGTCCTTGAAATCTGGGTCAGGTTCTCAACTATTATTAAACAGCCTTGGCCCATGAAACTGTTGCTATAATGCAAATTCAAACTAGGTGAAGGTCTGATCCAGATGATACAATGGTATTGTGCAACCCCCCTGTCATATTTCTTCTAGATTTTGGGGTATTGCTAAGACTAGCCAGCAGTAATTACTCAAAACTTACAAAATAAGTGCATTTCTAGCACCTGTGTTTAAATTCAGCTGGTGTGTGATGTTCTAAAATAATCGCATTCTGCCACCAGCTCAGTACATTACTGGTGAAAATCTAAACATACCAGTCTGGAATCTATTCTTTGAATGTGCAAGAAACATACTCCAGAGATTATACATGCTGTTGCTAAATCTTGGGCAAAATTGCATCAATTTAGCAAGGAAAATGAATTGCAATCTTGTGTGTTAAGCTCTCTATACCTATCTAGAACTTGACACTAACTACAGCTTAGAGACGAACAAAGATAATGAGGATGTCTGTCCCAGACCACACTCTGGTATTTCAATATTTGTTTTAATCCTGAGTCAGTGCAAGGACTGAAAATCTGCAGAAGGCAAACATATGGAAATAAGTCAACCTGTGCCATGGTTTAACCCCAGCCGGCAACTAAGCACTCCCCCACCCCCCACCCCCTTCTGGTGGGATGTGGGAGAGAATAGGAAAAGTGAGAGAACTCGTGGGTTGAGATAAAGACAGTTTCATAGGGAAAGCAAAAGCTGCGTGCACAAGCAAAGCAAAACAAGGAATTCTGTCACTGCTTCCCATGGGCAGGCAGGTTGTTCAGCCATCCCCAGGAAAGCAGGGCTCCATCACGCATAACGATGGCTTGGGAAGACAGATGCTATCACTCCAAATGTTCCCCCTGCTTCCTTCTTCTTCCCCCAGCTTTATATGCTGAGCATGACATCATATGGTATGGAATATCCCTTTGGTCATTTGGGGTCAGCTGTCCTGGCTGTGTCCCCTCCCAACTTGTTGTGAACCCCCAGCCCACTCACTGGTGGGGTGAGAAGCAGAAAAGGCCTTGACTGTGTGTAAGCACTGCTCAGCAGTAACAAAACCATTCTTGGGTTATCAACAATGTTTTCAGCACAAATCAACAATATTATATAACTTATGTTATGTAATTATTATATGTATCAACAATATTACACATATTAACATATTATATGTATTAACTTATTATACGTATCAAAAAATCACAATTTTAACGCCCCCCCTGCCCACATTTAGATGCTACCTGCAGGTCTTTAAGATATAGATATCTTGGCTTTTGTCCTACTGTTAATTGGGATATATTTATTCTAGAACAAATCCTACAAGAATCCAAGACAACATGACTAACTTGAGAAAGTACAAGGCTTGATTTAGGAATATCTTAGCTTTATATCTGGCTTTGCCACAGAGGTTTCATTTTTTTAGCTGTAGCATGGGAAGAGTGATACGTATGCCTTTTAACCGAGCTTAGAGATCAACTGAGGAAAGTTAGTAAGTAAGAGCTAAGTTTTATTATGATCATTTTTTAATATTATCTGAACAGCTCTTTAGCTGTTAGCCACTGTTAAAATTGCAAAATGCAACAAGGCAGTCGCCATCACATACCAGTCTGTTGTGAAGTACCACAAAACAGTACGTCCCCTGGGTATTTTTAACTAAATGTGATGCAACAGGATGTAGTCAGTTAAAAATGTTCTTATGTAAGATGATACATAAATGTTGAATGTTAATACCATTGCTTTCAAAACTATTATGTTCAAGCATAACTGTGTGCTCTGACAGAAATGAGTTAAGCCTGCGGGGCAGGCAAAGCTGACCTTGCACAGGCTTGTAACAGAGACACAGTCCTGCATTAAGACATCTTTTACCACGCCTTTTGTTTTCTTGTGTTTTATGCACAATTATCATTGCTGATGAGCCTTCGATACTGACATGGCCAATGTTTTTTTAATAAAATCCCCTAGTTTCATTTTGCTAGAAGCGTACAGGTGTAGCAGTGGCATCAAGTCCCAAGAGACCCAGATGCTGAGCTTACAATCTTGGCAGAAAGCAGGGCTGAGACAGTGCTGGGCTTTAGGGTGAGCTTTGTTTCATCCCTTACACTTTGATGTCTATACTTTAACCATACCCAAACCCACACTTAGCTAGTTACAGCATAGATTATATTTTGCTCCTGTCCTACCCTGTTTTTTCAAAATACTCTTTCAAATTATTCTCTCCACTCTGGGGAATAACCTTTCCGAATGACTGCCTGTGTGGGGCTTACATCTGTGTGCAGACTTGATCATTTTAGGCAATAGAAGAACGTAACTGTTCAGAAATGGGAGGCTCTGAAGTCTTCCTGTGGCTAAGAAATAGCTGCAAATTAGGGGATTCTGTGTTAAATTCACAAAAGAGCTGTTCTGACAGGACCCCAGATGACTGGTAGGGGATAGTATCATGCAAGCCAAGGGGGCATTTCTTCTCCCCATGAACTCCTCCCTGGGAAAGCAATTAAAAATCTTCCTAAATGTTGTGTGCTTGCGGGCAGCCCTGCCCTCACATAGCTGAGCCTCATGGTTGTTGCTTCATCATAGGTTCAAAGAATGACTTAAGCCAATGACTCTTTAAAATATCAGGTGTTTTGCTTTTTGTTCTTAGGGCTTACGTAAAATGAAGAGACAAATAAATAACACTTGAAGACTAGAGATAAACTCTAATCTGTAAGTATACACAGAATGAACAAAAGCCTTGGTTTGCAATGCTTTTATAACAATGTTTGCAACTTTAGGGAAAAAAAAAAGTAGCCAGTCATCTAGTTGTTTTATTTTCAACTCATTTTAAAGCTTTTCTACACAACTGTTTTCGTCATCGTTATTTGTAATTTCCTAGTACAGGAGAACGTTTGCTTATCCTTTTTGTCCTGTAGTTCTACATTGCCTCCTAAAAGTGGGAGGCAACTCTTTTTGTTTTCATCCATCTTTATGCATGTGTTTGATGTCATCTGATCTCTGTAAAGACCAGGAGGGTAAGTTCGGTGTCTTTGCTAATATACAGCTAGGACAGTAAGTCATTATCTTTAGGAAGGCTCCATGGTTTCCGTTTTTGTGTAAAACCAGCGAAAATCACAAACAAAAGAGGACTAACTCAACATGTTTTTCCATCCCATTTGTTGTTCAATAGACTTGATTTAAACTAAAAAGTACCAGGATCATGATGACACAGCCTACAAGACATGAGTCAATGAGTGAGTGAATGAGCTAGAGGAATCACTAAAAGTCGTTTGAAAAAAGTCAATATCCAAATGTAAACACACACTTGATATTTCATATTTTTAATTTGTAATGTTTTCCTTTAAGCAGATGTTTATGCTTCAAAGTTCAGGTGTATGTGGTTATTTTGAAATTAAGAGAATGCTGCAATTATTCTGGTGGCAGAGCCTACATTACCATAACACAGCATGGAATAACAGCAAATCGAAAAGCACTTACAGTGCTCTCAACAGAAAGCAGCTCAGAGACTAAATGAGGAGGTTTGTGAAACAAATGCATATTTTAAACAGACTTTTGTTAAACAATATTTGTATTTTGCACTGCCTCCAACCTAGCCTAGTTCAATGCAGAGATGGCAGTTCTGACGAACACTCGTTTTTCCGTTCTATTAAGTCTGTCAAAAATAGAAATCTTTCATTTGAATTGAACTTTTTCCCCCTCCAAATTGAAATGAAACTTCTCAGTTGGGTGCATGTAGGCTGCAAACGCTTCTTCTGCAGAACCCAACTGTCGGAACACATGAAAATGTGTGTGAAGCCTGCCAGTCCCTCAGCAGGCATATATGGGGGCATAAATTTTGCAAACACTTGTTATACAGACAGTAGAGCTCACTGGCAAGGATTGTAAGAGCGTCATAGTTTTTGACAAATGAGATTTTTTTTTTATTAATAAGTTGATATAATGTTGATGTAACATAATGGTGACTGATGAACCTGGCTGGGAAAATAGTGAGCAATGAAGAGGGCAAGGCAGTGACAGACTGATCCAGATTGCTAAATCAGGTGCAAACTAGCAACATGTGTTTTACCACTGCCAAATGCAGAGTTGTTCATCTAAGAACCAAAGAATAGGAGCACAGCACTGATGGAGGCAGTTCAGTGACTGAACAAATATCACTGGGATGAAGTGAAGATAAGTATCTTCTATCTCTTATCTCTTCTTATCTCCAGATGTCTATAGGAAAAGCCAAAATTTGACAAAGGGTTTTTAAATCTGAAAGGAAAACCAGAAGGACGTACTATGCCTGGAAGCTGAGGCTGTACAAACTCTGTCTAGAAATATGGTTCACCCTTTTTTTTAAACAGTAGGATAATTAACAGTAGGATAAAAGAGAAACAAGTTTGCAATGAATGTTCTTTTACCAGGAAAATTTTGACAGAGACCGAATCATTTTCATAAATGACATGTTCTGGCCTGAAGACATCAGTCCAGGGAAGTCCCATGGGCTGTGCTGTGCAGAAAGTCACAGGAAGTGAACATGGCCTTATCCACACTGGTAACTGATGAATCTTGAATGCACAAGAATCTTTTTCCTGATCATATTTCTAAAAGAACCCAGCGCCTGGCCTCTTGGCAATCTAAAACGTAGCTATTCTGGCAATTGTCCCCAAGCCCTTGGTACCAGCAGTTGTCTCTTTAGCTGCTATGGCATTCAGATGAAGTGGTTGCCCATCATCACCTCATGGCTGCTCAATGTTTAGCCAAGTGATGAGAGGCTTAACACAGAGTAAGACCAAGCCTTTCTCCAAAATTTGAGAAATACTGAACTGGCAGTAGCTAGAGGGGGTAGAAAGTCATGGAAACAATAACACGTCCTTGAGGAGAAACTCTGTGCCTTTAGATGCATGATGGAGTAAGTCCTCTCTGTGCTCCTTCTGTTCTTAGAGATGTCAAGAGCTAACATTAGTGCACACGAAGGGAAGCTGCTCTGGGTGAGGCAAAGCTGCAAAGTACCATCCTGGAGGAGCTCCTTGGTGCTTCAGACATGGTTTGAGGCCAGGGGGTGTGGGAAGATGAGGGAAGAAGGGATGAAACTGAACTGTAACTCTGTGGACAGGGTATAGCCACTCTGTAAAATGCAAGATAGTTAAAAAAGCTAGTTTTAAGCAAGCTAGATTCATAAAATCATAGAATGTTTTGGGTTGGAAGGGGCCTCTAGAAGTCATCTAGTCCAACCCCCCTGCAGTGAGCAGTACTGAAGCAATGCTTTTACAGCTGGCAAGAGCTTATACCAGCTGACACTGGCAAGGCGCTAAACAGCATGGCAAAAGACCATTTCTTCGGTAGCTTGATACCACATCCAGTGGTCCCTCCTGTTGTTCCTTCTCTTCTGTGAGGTATTGTCTGGCTCCTGGAGGCTTCTATAGCTCATGTTTCCAGTTGGTTCAGTACATAGCCTATGTTATATTATTAATTAGTCTCTTTTAAGATCTGCATTCATTCTCAATCCTTGTCCCTCCTGTTAAATTCTGGCTGAAGGTCTTGTTAGTTGTATTTCAGGTCAGTAGGTTATAGCTATGTGAATGACATTACATTAGGAAACTTAATTTCACTGGAAAGCCTCATTTCCTCTGTGAAGCATACCCTGTGTCATACTATGCTCTGTATTCATCAGGCAATGATATTTCGGTGGGATGCCTGGAGTAATGGGGACCTGATAATCTCCTATCATAGCTGCCAGTAGCTTTTTTTTGGAAGATTAATGAAAATGAGATTTCCTGCAGAATCTTACAATGAAGGGATTTAGCAATGACCACAAAGTTCTGCAGAAACCTGCATTTCAGTGCCTCGGTTGCTTATTTGCAGACAGAATTAGGTGTCTAGCTGTCCCTTAATAAGACTGTATGAGGAAAATACCTGCTTATCTGTTCCTTCAGTTCAAGTTTCACTGCCGGGCTCTGAGGGGTGACTGCGAGGAGTCCCTCTTCTCCAAGCGCAGCCTTGCTGCTGGGGCTGCTCATGACAGCTTGCATTTCCAGCATGTTGCCTTTAGGGCTGTGGCACTTTTTAAGCTTCAAATATGCATTTTAAATTAAAACAGTGTGATAATGCCACTTTTTAGAGACATCTTTTTGAACTAAAGCTTAGCAACTTGGAAAAACTGATGATTGCTAACCCCTTCTGGCTTGCACGGTTGTGAGGCCAAAACGCAATGTCTCAGAAACGAGAACAGAATTGGAAGGAACTTGCATGGTTTCTGATGCAAGAGCTGCGGTGTGCCAATCAGCAGCGCCTCTAAGAAAAAAGTCTTCCACTGCAACCCATTTTACTTCTCAAAATGCACTGGAATTAGTTGTCCACATATCTCTGCAATGCAGTTTCAAACCAAAAAGGTCAGTAAGTGCCAACAACCAACACATCAATTTGAGATACGGCAGTTATGTTGATTACAATAAAATATCTGGCGTCTTAGATGCATTGGGATAGCTAGAGAATAACTGATTTTTCAATGTATAAAGAGATCTTGATTACTGTAGGGGCAAATGCTTAGAAATATTGCTAAGAAACAACAAAAAATATCTGAGATTTATCACAGATATCCATGCCCCGCTGCAAGCAAAACCAGTTTATAAAGCTGTTACAGGTGTTTCCTCTTTTCCGCAAAAGAGAGAACTGCTAAAGAACTTTTCTCCCCTCCCAGCTTCTAGCAGCATATGCTACCTAAAAATGAGAATAAGCTGAGACACTGCTCGTACAAAGAGCTAGAGGAACTGCTTTGTGAAGTTGATAACACTGTAGTATTAAAAGAAAACCTGCAAAAATGCACCCAGGAGAAAACCCCCTCTTGTGCTGTGGGATTCACCAGTGAAATGGGTGGCATGCCAGAGTCAGTTTTAAATTATAGTTCAGGTAGCAGTAGCAGTATAACTGGGATAGTACAGAGCCTGGCACTGTTCAATATTCCCTGCTCCTTTTCTGTGACTGTAGCGTGGGCATCCTCTCGATACTCTCATAGATTCAAACGTGCTTCAGGATAACACCCTACCTGAACTCTTCCCCTCCCACTCCATCTTGTAGTACTTAAAAATCCCACCAGAAGTTACATTTAGAATTATAAGAATTATACTTCTTCTCTCTTTGAAACAGCAATATATTAAAAAATGTATAGCATACTTATTAAACTTGCTATTAACTTTCATCTAGCCTCAGCTTGGGCCAGGCAGGCTTATTTGCACTACCCCAGGATGTCCTTTCCTAATGTTTTCGAACAGCCCATTTTGTAACATCCGGTTACCACATATTAGATGTGAAATGGCCCTGAGCACCAGGACAGCACTGCCCACGCTACTCGGTCTGGCAGGATCTGAGCAAAGTCTCCATGGAGCCTGGGTATCCATGGTGTTTAATCCCTTACTCAGATAAACTGTCCATAGAGAAGGAGTTGACTGCAATGTGTGCAAAACTCAGCTCTCGGTAACAAACAAAATTTGTAGCTTCCATAGAGCAACATATGGTTATTATCTGGCTCTGGGAAGGGCAGATTTGTGTTGCAAATAAACAAACTGATGAATGAGTAGCAGAATTCAAATGGTATCTCTGATCTTCACTGCAAAAGCATGCAGATGCTCAGAAGAGAGAATTAATACCACAGATTGCTCAAAACCACCAAAGTCATGTCATTTCTCTAAGGATCTCTTCTTCCCACATATTACTACCTCATGCTTCTTTTTAAGGGTATAGCTAACAGCATCATAAGGACTAGAGTGCTTCTTCACCCAAGCTTCTCAGCCATTTTTCTCTAATCTGGAGGATGTTTGGATAAAACTACTGGCTGCAGCTTGTGCCAGCTGTGAGATTCCAGGATTATCCCTCGAGCAAGATGCAGGTGAAAGCTATGCTGGCTTTTAAGGTGGACCCTCTCATTTCTACCTTATCTTAGTCTTTATGCGTTCTTTCATTTCTAGAATATGTACGAGGAAGATTTCAGGAGCATGACTGAAGAGAATAGGAACAGCAGTGACTCCTCCGCTGCCTTCACTCACAACACCACCATGACTGCCATACTGATTACTGTCTACTCAGTTGCCTTTGCTGGAGGTGGGATCGGGTCCATCACAATGTCCTTTGTGCTGGTCAAGATGAACACTCTGTCCGTGACCACTACAGCCATCATCAACCTAGTTATTGTGCACAGCCTCCTCCTCTTCACGGTGCCCTTCCGCCTGCACTACTATGTCAACAAGAAGTGGGAATTCAAGATGCCATTTTGCAAAATGGTGAGTGCAATGGTGCACATCCACATGTACCTGACCTTCCTATTCTACGTGATCACGCTGGTGATCCGGTGGCTCATCTTCTTTCAATGGAAGGACAAGGTGGAGTTTTACAGGAAGCTGCATGCCATTGCGGCAAGCGCTGCCGTGTGGGTCTTCGTCATGGTCTTTGTGGTGCCAGTCTTGTGCTTTGAGTACGGACGCTCAGGCTCATACAATGATACAACATGCTTTAAGTTCCACAGAGAATTGCAGCAGGAAGGTGTGAAAGCCCTGAACTACACCATAATTGTAGCTGTTGCCTGCATTACTTGTATCCTCTTGGGCCTGCAGATTTTCATCCTCATAAAAGTAGCGAGAAAACTTTCCACCTCCCTCTGGTCACACCAAGAGTTCTTGGCCCAGGTGAAAAACCTGATTTTCATCTGCGTCATCATAATTTGCTTCCTTCCCTATCACCTCTTCCGGGCCTACTACATACAGCACGTGGGTGATTTTGACCAGTTAGAAAGCTACAATGAAGTTTTTTTGAGTCTGACTGCCCTCAGCTGTCTGGACCTGCTGTCGTTTGTGCTGAGCGGAAGCCGCTTCTTCAAGCAAAAGGTGGGCATGCTCCGCAGCAGGTTGTCTTGCTGCTAGCGACAACCTCCTGCAGCGTGCATGGACCTGGGTCTGGCAGGGCACGGTGCTGGACAGGCACGGCAAACCCCCTCCTCAGCAAGTCAGGAGAGTGCAACACACTCGCGCAGGGCTCTGCCCACCTTCTCCCCAAAATCACAGGACAAACAGCCTCCAGTGTCTCAGCTGGTAAACTGGAAGGTTACCTCTGGGATTTGCTCAAGGTGCTGCCTAGTGAGTTGCGGATACACCTGGAGGAGAGGGAGGAAAGGACATGAGTTCTTCTGTCTTTCGCTTTTTACATCCAGGTTTGTGAAGTCAAAGGCACTAGGAGGAGACTCAAGAGAGTTTGCAAAGCATGTAGAAACACAGAAAAGCAGTTTTCTATGGAATAAGGCACAGATTTTTGAAATTTAAAGATCTACATAGTTTCCCACATCCATTTCTTATTTATTCCCCACAAGGTCTCGTAAATATCAGGGAAGCTATTTTTCCTCCTGACTAGGTTTGTTCCTTCACTCTAAAGACAAGTATAACTTTCTAAATGAATTGCACAATTAAACCAATAGTTTAAAAACAAATTAGCAGTAAATATTTATTTCTTAAAAGATCCTATCAAAATGGCCTTTTAGAGATGGTATCACTGCAGCAGAAGAGTTTTGTTCTCTTTCACACATTACGAAGATGTCTCCAACAACAAAAATGTCACATTGTTACTGAAATGAACATTGTAATTTCAAACAAAATCCTGTATTTTAATTTAAAGGATTGCTCAATTAAAAAAAAAGTTAACAGGATCATTTTATTTAGATCATTCAGACAGCAGTTGTCTTCTCTTAAAAAGTCAAATATTTTAGGTCTCCAAGATAACAATGATTTTTTTCTTCTCCTATGCTGATTTTGTGCAATTCTGAAGTTTATAACTAATTACTCACAGTATCTTATCTAGAAATCAACCCTATACATTTAGTACTAGCAGAAGAAATTAAGATGTCACTGCTTGGATGGGAGGGATGGAAAAAGCTAATAAACCTGGTGTAGCTAAAAAGCATATTATACCTCAGTGAGACATTGTGAGTTCCTATCTCTGAACACAGAATTGAATTCTACTTGAAAAGAGGAAAAAAATCAGCAAAATAATTCCATGGAAGATATTCAGGCTTTCATTGCTCAGCTGCTTTACATCTATCCCCCTAAGAAGAGTAAAAATCTCTGACTGCTATAACCCAAGACAGCAATGGCTAATTTATCTTTCTTCTTCTTGCCATCTGCATAAGGTCACTTTTTTTCATCTAGAGTCAGTGGAATAATATTTTAATAATTTGACAAATTAGAGGTCATCAGCCAATTAATTTCCAGTGACAGTCTCTCCTCATGATGCTATTGAAGCCCACCTTTTCATACTTCTGAATCTTTCCATTCCTTTCTACTTTGCCTTCAACACCTCTTGCTCATCATACAGCAATCGAGTAACTATTGGTTGATCTTGCTGTACCTGCACAATCTGATTGCTATACTCGTTGCTTCCAGCCCCGCCAAAGATGGTTACTTTATAGGGTCCCATCTCTTCTATAGTCTTTCTTCCCTGCCTTCTTTCTGGCTTCCAGCTCCTCTATATCTCTTGGGAGGTCTGAGCATGAGAGAGTATTTTTGGGGTCAGTATCTGAGCAATGCTATATAACACAAAAGGTTGGAAAGATAGAAATATCAGAGCTTGCAGTGTGTGTGGATCTGAGACAAAACTGTCTGAGAAGGCATTTGCCCCAAAAGGATCATGGTAAAGAAGAAGACAACCACCAGCCTGATTCAACAGTAGTTGGGGAACTACAGAGACTTTCATAACATGGGAGGAGTCAGCTTGAGTGTGTGGCTCACTACCAGTTAATTACGTGCCATTAAGAAAGCAATAGACTGCTCTGATCCAGCTTTGTTTTAAAACTACATGAACAAAGCAGTTTTTCCTTGTGGCAGGAGAGAAGATGGAAAGTGGCACAACATTTCTGTTTCCTCCTATAGCAACATTGTTGGTGGAAGAAAATACCTTGCATGTGTTCTGTAGGCACTGCATACCTTTGTAACACTATATTATAACTCTTCTGTCATAATAAAGTTGTTAACAAACAAAATGACTATGTGCTGAAAAGACTAAGCAAGTCCTTCCTGCAAATATGCATATAAATGAAAAGCATTTTGTATCTGAATTTGGCAAGACTTTCCAAAAATAGAAAATACATTTATGAACAGTACCTCCTGACCATACAGCTTAATCAGTCTTATTCATGTATATGTTAAAATCACAAGTTGTTTAATTCTTGTTAAAATGTACACATTCACAGTACCCTGCACCACAGCATCACAAAACCCACTAGATAGTGGGGTTTTTTTCCAGATAAAAATTGATGCTAATGATGTTACTGCTAACTCAGGATGATAATGAGCAGAATTAGGGGGTTATAATTCCATGCATTAAGTTGGTGACACTATTCAGCACAAAGTCATGCTTTCTGTGGGACTGTCCACAAACTTTACATCTGCTTTACATCTCTGCCCCAAGAGACTGAAGTCTCGGTTAACACTGGCAGGAATTGCCCTGCCAGGTGATGAGAGGGGGTGATGCTTCCAGCAAGGGTGCTGACAGGGCTTGCAGGGAGGACTGGTTGCTGCTCCCTCCAGCCTCCCCCTGCTTTGCCCCCCACTGGCACTGTGTCCTCTCCCTGCTCACTTCCCCCAGGAGGGCTGAGGAGGGGTGGAGGTGCTGCCAGGCCGTGCCACAGAAGAGCCTGAATAACTCCTGAAAACAAAAATGTAGACAAGGCCAGAGCAGCATCCAAAATGTAGCCAAGTGGCTACAGGGATGGCAGAGGCAGCGATGGGGAACTGCTGACATGAGGGATGGGGAGTTTCCAGTTACCATCATCTGCTTGGACAGAGGCACCACGGCTTTAAAGGAGACCCTGATTTTGCTGACTCTGGATCACAGAGGACCGTTCTGGATTGGAAGGCAACCAAGTGAGAACACAAAAGCTGTTAGAGCAGGACATAGAGGGGATAGGACCTGGAGAATGTGACAGGGGAGGAGGATAGGAGAGCAGAAAATCAGCATGTTTCTGCCACACAGTGGCCAGCTAACATAAACTGTGACTCTGGTGTCATGGGTTTTTTTGAACCCTTAAAGTGGCCAAAAATTGGTACTCTCACTGACGGGAGCAAACTTGCCCTCCGCCACTCCATGTTCCTACTCCCACATCACTCCTTCTATAGGGTTGGGATTCTTCTGCTCAATGGCTTTCAGCTGCACGAGTTCCCTCTCTAGCTCACCAGGGAGTCATGGAAAATGAAGTCAATGCAAGGACAAATACAGCAAGACTGCTTTTTTTGCAGCACTGCTGATTTGGGGTGTTTATCAGACTGTAATCTTACTTGTCTAATTCCCTTTGGGATCCAGATTTTTTTTTTTTCCAGGCAGTTTTCCACAGATCCACATCACCTGACATCTCCATTTCCATGTGCTCCTGAGGACCAGGGTGCCTTAGACTAGAGGTGTTGGTAGGGGAAGGAGGGACCTCCACAGCTGTGGGCCAGGAAGGGGGTTTCAGGCACTCGATGCTCTCTCCAGGGATGGGGAGATAAGGGCATGGCAACCCCTGAAAGTGGTGGAGGCAGGAGTTCCTGAACAGAAACCTCAGGAGAGTGGGAGGATCAGACACTTCTGACCCATAAAGTCACTCATTTCTGCTGTTCTCAGAGAAATAGGACTTTGTGTGCACTTTTCCTGTAAGTAAACCCTATGGCTAGGACTTGATTTGAAACAAGGTCTGGTTTCAAAAGCCAAGGAGTCATTAATAAAACACCAGCTTGACCTCCCAGACAGAAACTTCAGAAAATCAAACTAAACTTTCCAGTACTCAGTGAGGTAATTTTCCCCACTTGTAAACAGCTGTTTTATAAGCCAGATTTTTGCTGAAAAGAGAAATACCAATAAAGGTAATATACAGTATCTATTCCCTGAAGTGTCACTGTAAGTAATATATAGTCTTCTTTCCTCTGGTGAGGCAGCAGACAGGCCAGCTGGCTACTTTTACTCTCAACCAGAAACACTTCCCTCTCCCCCAGTAACATGTCCAGTTTGGGAATGCCTGGCTGGTTTTGCTCTTCAGCTCTGGTAGCTGTGCCCTCAATGAATTGCGTGCCACCCATGGGTGACGGGGGCTCACCTGACTCTGAAGTCTGGCTAATGGAAACGGTGCAAGTCCCATAGCTGGGAAGGGTAACGCACAACCAACCGGGGAATTGGCTATCAAATCCACAGGCAACCCCATCCATAGCAGGGTCATGCTCAGGAAGGGCCACATGCTCAATGCCAACAAGAGGCAAGACAGATGTTAGCATAGAAATTTAACAGCATCTCCAAATGCTTCATCTGAACCTGGGAAGCAAGACCCTGGTTTATTCTCAGCAAGGGCTGCATGCTAAGGGAAGGAGGCTCATGGAAAAGAGCTCACAGCCTCTCCTCTGTTTTAGAGGTCTACAGCATAGAGAAACACAACAGCCTGCCTATGGCTGAGAAGGTGGCAAACAACAGTGGTGGCACCATGGCCTCTAGCAGAGAAGTGTAAGAATTGCAGATAGGACTTTGCCTTCCCAATGCTTTTCCTCAGCAGATGTGAGACTCACAGAGACTCCACTGGTCAGGTGCTACAAAACCACAGGAGAAAATAAGAAAATAAGAAAAGGCAGCAGAGACTGCATCTGCATTGATGAAAAATCCTGTGGCAGACAACCTTGAATCATACCCTTGGAGAGAAGGAGAGCCTCAAGCATCTGGGGGCTTCATCCAGAGAAACATGAATGGGTACAAACTCCACATACATGGAGACAGACCCTAGTTCCCACCCTCTGTTACAGAAGGAGCAGCTGAATCAGGATCTGCTCAAGACGTAAACTGTGTCCGTACGCTAGAAATGGCATCACAAAGTTTCACATGATGAAAAGCAGTTTGTAAGTTAAATTCAGCTTGCAAGAATAGAACTATCTCTACAGTAAACAGTCCTTCAGAAGTTTAAACCCAAACAGCAGACAATCTGTACATATTATGATGATACTGAGAAAGTGGCTAATTTGAAAAAAAAAAAAAGAAAAATCGGAAATTTGCAGTTCTTTCATTAAATGACTGTTTTAACCACATCAAGTGACTGGGTTTAGGCACTTCAGAAAATAATGCCATTTTATTACACCACTGGACTGCATTCTTCATTTGGCCATCACCTGAAATGCCTAATAGTTTCTAGTATTTCACAAAATGTGAATTATTGTCGCTATTGTTCTAGTGGGGAAGGTCAGGTGATTCAAATAACAGTCCAACGGAACAAAATTAAAAACAGCTGCAAATGTTACAAAGCAAAGTTGAACTCATGAGAGTCTTTATTTTAGAAAATATAGTACGTAGTTTGCTCTGCAATATACCGTGTAGTTTTGAACAGTTTGGGAAATAAAATGAAATAAACCACTTCTTTCTGTTGACTTTTAAGTTAATAAGTTCAAAAAGCTAGGGTTAGATATTTTGCATAATACCTGCCTGTTATTTTCTGTCATTTTGCAAAATAACTGGAAGTCATTTTGAGAAATGGCTGAGGATTTTAGCTATTTTACGAAATGACTGGTTTCACAATATGACTGTAGCATACATCAGAAATTGGTGCAAGAGAAGTTGTACATAAAAGGACAGAGTTGAATCAGATTTCTCTGCTTGCTAAGTAATCATTCCTGAAGATGCCTCGGGACTTCAAAGTTCATTTTAGAGAACTATACAAAAAGTTTAAGAAATGCTCCAAGTATGTGATCCCAAAGGCAGCATATAGTGCAACTATTGCTGAAATAAAGAAGACAAAACAGAATCCCAAGTCAAAGTCAAGACATGAATGCTATATGCTTGCAAATTAAGTATGGAGAACCCTCTTCCTGTTTTTTTAACTCTAAGTGTACACATCACTACTTTCCCCATTTAGATGCACAGCATTATTGCTAATAAACTGCTTGCTATTTCCTCATTTCAGATATGAAGTTCTGTAATGTGGGGACACTGAAAAGCTGATTAAGAAGAGGCAGACGAAAGAGTAATCTCCCACCTATTAATTATGTGAGCATCAAGGATACATATGATATCATCAAAAAAGCACATATGGCTACTGGCCATGATGGCTGTGATCATGTCACTAAAGACTTGTTGTCTAAGTATGCAAACATGACCAGAGAAGCTGCTGAGCACTTCAAATCCTTCTGTGCAGTGTGCCAAGAAAAAAGGAAGGCACCACCAGGAACGGTTTGCTGGCTGGTCTGTTCTGAACAAGCAGCACTTAGTGTGGGGGTAAACTGACTTTATCAATATGCAGTCCATGTGTCTAGGCAGCCTGAAGTGGATAACGGTGTACCAGGACTGCATCACCAAATTTTGGGTTCTCTGTCCACTTACACCAAAAAAACCAGCTGAGGTGGCTCTACAGTTTCTTGACAACTTTCTCACTTTTGCAGCCCCTGACAGGGGCATGATGAAACAGAGTTCATAAGTCATGCAAGAACTAAAGTATTTGTGGCCACATCTCAGCTCAGTGCCTGGAAAACCTGTCAAAGCCAAGAACTAGCAGAGCATCCGAACAGCAATATTAAGGAGATGCCCATGGAGTGGATGGCAGACAACAACCTCTGGGACTGGTCTATGTGAATATGCTTTGTGTGGTTTGCTAAGAATTCATCTCACCACTCTGGAATAAACTGTGCACTGTACTCAGCTCTGTTTGGAACAGATCCCAGGTGTGGGCTCACCTCAACCTCTCTTCCATTGGATGTCATTAACTGCCTAATGAATGAGGAGGACCTGGTCTCTGAGCTGACCACCTCTGCTGCATCACCTGTCCCCACAGCCCATGAAGCTCCAGAGGACCCCACTGGCAATGCCCCTAGAGCTGAGGCTTCAACAGAGCCTGCACCTGGGTCTCCGTCCAATGAAATTCATCCACAACCTCAGAAGCCTCCATCCACAGACTGTACAGACACATAGCCTTTTGCCAACAGAGCCCATGGCCAGTGAACAATCACTAGCTACCCCAGACTCCAAAGCTGATGTCTGTTTTCACCAGCAGGATGAAGAAGCATGGACAGACCAGGCTGGCCAGGTAGA